GTGGTGACTCCTCTTTTGGAGCAGATCCGAGAGGCCCAGCAGGAGGCTATGAAGGAGGAACATCGGAAGAGCGAGCGTATTGTGGGACAGATTTCCTCCTTCGACTATGATAGTCATGGGTTATTGACGCTACACCGCAGGGTGTGGGTTCCCTATCATGGGTGTGCGCGTCGGGTTCTGATGGAGGTGGCGCACAAATCCCGATTCTCGATTCATCCCGGGGCGACGAAGATGTACAGGGATCTTCGACCTGATTACTGGTGGCCATGCATGAAGCGGGACGTCGCCTGGTACATAGAGCGATGCTTGACCTGCAGGAGGGTCAAGGCCGAGCAGCAGAGGCCACAACGCAAGATGCAGCCGCTGGACATTCCCATGTGGAAATGGGAAGATATTACTATGGACTTCATCACCAAGCTTCCCAGGACTGCACGGGGAGTGGATTCAATTTGGGTTATCGTGGATCGGTTGACCAAAAGTGCCCACTTCATACCGATCCAGGAGAGCATTTCGGCCAAGAAATTGGCCGACATCTACATCCGTGAGGTAGTAGCTCGGCACGAGGTGCCAGTTTCGGTGATTTCGGACCGAGACGTACGCTTTACTTCTAGGTTCTGGAAGAAGTTTCACGACGAGTTGGGTACTCATCTGCATTTCAGCACAGCGTTCCACCCGCAGACGGATGGTCAGAGTGAGCGGACCATCTAGACCTTGGAAGATATGTTGCGGGCCTGTGTTCTAGACTTCGGTGGTAGCTGGGATACCTACCTTCCATTTGCTGAGTTCTCCTACAACAACAGCTATCATGTGAGTATCGATTGTCCTCCTTTCGAGATGTTGTATGGGAGGAAGTGCAGAACCCCGATATGCTGGGGTGAGGTTGGTCAGAGGGTCATGGGGAGTACCGAGGTGGTACTCAAGACTACAGAGAGGATTCAACAGGTTCGGAGCAGGCTTCAGACTGCTCAGAGTCGGCAGAAAAGTTATGCCGACAAGCGTCGGTCGGACCTGGAGTTCCAGGTCGAGGATATGGTACTTCTGAAAGTGTCGCCTTGGAAGGGCGTCATTCGATTCAGGAAGCGGGGCAAGTTGGGCCCCAGGTATATTGGACCCTCAGGGGTTATAGCCCGGGTGGGAAAGGTGGCATATAGGCTGGATCTGCCAGCCGAACTCAGTCAGATTCATAGCACTTTTCACGTCTCCCAGCTGCGGAAGTGTCTGGTGGACGATTCGGCAGTGGTGCCTTTAGAGGATATTCAGGTTGATGACAACCTGAATTACATCGAGCGACCAGTGGCGATCCTTGACAGGAAGTCGAAGGACCTGAGAAACAAGAGAGTGGAGTTGGTAAAGGTGCAGTGGCAGCACCGCAAGGGATCGGAATGGACATGGGAGTCGGAGCACGAGATGAGGGAGCATTACCCTGAGATTTTTCAGAACCCAATGGCAGACTTCGAGGACGAAGTATAAAATAAGTGGGGGAGATTTGTAACACCTGATTCCTGGTATGTATTTTATTCAAGAATTGTATGTATTTTCTCTGGGACTCGACGAGTTGGTGGCCCAACTCGTAGAGTAGAGATGGGATCCGCGGGAAGTTTAAGTGACCAACTCGACGAGTCGGAGACTGACTCGGAGAGTAGGTGTTGTTTGAGTAAAACCCTAAATTTGAGGGTTTGCACCCTATTTAAACACTTTATCTCAGCCTCCATTGCCCTTATCACTCCCAAAGAGCTGTATATCGAAACCCTTGCCGTTTTTGTGTGTTCTAAGGTCATTTTTTTGAATTTAGTGAAGTGTGAAGCTTGAGAAGAAGAAAGAAGTTTGTAAGTTCGAGTTGAGGCTTAGAGATCCAGAGATTTTGGTCCACTTCCAGCTCAATCAAGGTAAAATACCCCTGTCTTGGTCTTCCATGTGTTATTCATTCTTAGAAGCTTGGACTTTGGGTACATTTAGGGCTTTCTAAGCCATTTTCGGATTTGTGAGGTGTGCATGGAATCTTGACTTCAGATCTGAGTCATTGGAGGGGTCTCATGGCATAAAGGTGCCAACTTTAAGGCCATGAGAGCCCCATGCATCTTGTAGAACACCTTTTATGGCTTTTTGAGCCAAAGACTCCATGCATGTGCACCAAGTTTGGAACTTTACGTGTAAAATGGACATTAGAAGGCCAGATCTATGATTTTGAGGTGTTAAGACCCATTTAAATCGACTGTATAGTAATGGTCAAGGTTGTGCTCGACGAGTCGTTCTTGGGACTCGGCGAGCCGGGGTGTTTTGACCACCAAGTCCCTTCCGTGGATGGACCAGTTGTTAGGATGGAAAATCCCTTAGTTGTTTGGACGCGTAAAGGGACCTGGGAATCATAGGACTCGGCGAGTGTATGAACAGACTCGGCGAGTCCAAGGCAATCTCCCAACCTTTGAAGATGAACTCAACGAGTTGTTCATACAACTCGACGAGTCATAGACTGGATGTATTTATAGGAGGGAGATGAACTCGACGAGTTCAAGGTCGAACTTGGCGAGTCGGTTGAAGATTGCCCGATGTGTTGTTGAAGGCGAACTCGTCGGGCTCTTGCTAGACTCGACGGGTAGGGACGAGAGTAAGACATTTGGTAGTTATGGGAACTCGACGAGTTGGCGGACCAACTCGGCGAGTCGAGTCAACCAAATGTTGACTTTGACCAGGGTTTAACCTTGACTTTGACTTGGATTTGGAATGACCCTTGTAATAGTTATGAGTATGCAATAGTAATCGGAGAAGGTTGTTGTGTAGGGATTGGGGATTTGTGACAAGTCGATTCTGTGCCGAGGACAGGGCAGATACTACGCGACATTGAAGTGAGTTACCTTCTAGTAGTGGTGGGTCTACGGCCACAATGTCGGCCCACTAGTAGGAGTTGTATGTTAGATGATTGTCTTTGTGATATTCGTCTAGGTTTGCTACTACCTGATATGTTTATGTGCTAGCATGATATGTTATATGTGATACTGGTAGTATGAGGGGAATAGTCCCCAAGTTCGGTTGTTAGGACCGAAGGGTAGGTCGGGCACCCCAGATATGCCTGACGGTATGATTATGTTATGTTATGTGTTATAGTAGTAGTAGGGGTGAAATAGTCCCCGGATTTCGGTTGTTAGGACCGAAGGGTAGGTCGGCACCCCAGAATGGCTTGACATAGGTAGGTCAGCACCCCAGAACTGCTTGACATGGGTAGGTCAGCACCCGAGAACTGCTTGACAGGGTAGGTCGGCACCCCAGAATGGCCGGACCGGGAAGGTTGGGCACCCCAGAATTGCCCGACAGTATGTATGCTACGTGATTGTATGGTATGTGATATGATGGGGGAACTCACTAAACTTTGTGCTTACGATTTACAGTTTTGGTTTCAGGTACCTCTTCAGCGAAGGGGAAGGAGCCGGTGCGGTAGCGGCACATCACACACACGCATGATTTCCGCACTATGAGATTTCTTGGGATTGTATTCTTATTTTTATTACTGTGGATGATATGGTTTTGAGACACGTTGTTACAGTTTTATAAATTGATTTGACGTTGGTGATGTTTTTGGTAAACTATTTTATGAGTTACTTAATTAAAAATGAAATTTTTGGTCTTGAAAATTGGGATGTTACAGAGTTATTGCCCAAACGTGCAAATTACCCAAATCATATGGACGATTCGTGTTACTCTTGTTTTTTTTTAAACGCCTTGTACACACATGCTACTTCTAAACTATATATTCCGTCCCCAATGAGACTTAAACTCGTAAACTTTGACTAAAATGCTCATAAATCTACATATTTTGTCAACTTGTAATATCGTTAAGTCAAAGGCTCTTTGATTTTTATTATTTTTCATTTAAAATTATTTGTTTGATTGATTCTTTATTTTGGTTAAGATATAACAACTAAAATTGTGTTAAGTAAACTATAAATTAATTAAAATATATAATCCGAATTTCTAAACATGTTCATATTAATATATTACAAAATAACTATTAATTATAAACAATTAAGATATTTGTAAAAAAATATATATATAATAAATAGTTAATGTAACACCTAATATATATTTTACACTGTATTCAGAGAAAGGTCACGAAACTTTGGTTTTTTTATGAAAAAAATGATGACTTTTTTTTTAAACATAAAAAGACAAAAAAACCACGAAATCTTTACACATTTGAGATTTTAGCTGATAAAAAACTTTGATTGGCCGCATGGATTTATTTTAAATAAACAAACTTTTCAGTGGTTTTTCGAAAATAAAATAAACTTTTAATGGCTTTTTATGAAAATACAAGTTTTTCTTAGAAAAAAATAGAGAATACAATAAGATAATACTCTTTATCTTATCAAGATTATACAGCGGGCAGATAGAATGCAATAACATTATTTTGCTCAGATATTGAGAATCCAATAATATTACAGTAAAATAATATTTTGTATGATCCTAATTATCCGAATCATATTGAAAAGAATACAATAGCATTACAATAATAATATAATTAAATTATAATATAATTGCAATAATATTACATTATAAATAGATAGTCACCATACGCCAGCACAACACCATCTTTACTTCACTTCACGTTATAGAGGGTTTGATCATCACATGATAAGACAAGAAAGAAGAGTAAGGAAAAAAGAGTAGAAATAGAAGTCGTGTGGTTGGGTGTGGTCACACGTAGAGGCGTAGTATGCATGTCATGGTGACGGTGTCACATCACCACCACGGCTATAGCATAATTATGACCATTATTTTGAGTAAAGGCCTCGTCTTTTGTTTGAAATAACTCATTGTAACCGTTTGACCTATTATTTTTGCAAAATTTCAATTTCCTTCTAAAATTTGACCAGGTAATTCTTCTTATATATATGCTTCTATTGGAACTAAAACCCTTTACCAAAAATTTTATTAAACTTTCTCCTACACCAACAACAAACCCAAAAAACAAACAAGACAATAAAGCAAGATGAAATATTGATATATCCGTAGTACCTTTAAATATTCTGTCATATTACATTCCACCAACTTGATAATTGATAATTGATAATTAACGCTACACGCCCACATAACACGAGAATAATTAACCAAACTTGAACCAAGATGTCCGAAATCATCACTAAACCCGAGTCTTTACACCTAAAGACTAAAGTTACACGCACCATTGACATTTCTATACAAAACGCGACCCATTAAAACAAACCCTGCTCCACGCACGCCATCACCCACCCACAACTCCATTATTGTACAACGGGGCGTTGAGAGTGTATTAAAAACTAAAAACAAGCAAACAAACAAACAAAGTTCCAAACTTGAACTTTCTAACCGGATCAAAAACCCTAAGTAGTTTTTTTTACTTTTTAAGGGCTAAGGCTAATAAATTACATTCACATTCATCATCCCTGTATTTTATCCAAAGTTACAGATAGACACCACCACCGCACCTCTTCAGTATATAAAAATTTCACCTACCAAGTGCTGTATTTATTCTACCAAAAACCACCTTCAACGGGACACAAGCTTCTCCAGGCTTCTTAAACTTTCCCGTTTCATTCGCCGGTCTTTTAGACCCCGTTAAAGACGACAAGCGTCGGATCTTTTTGTTCGATAAGATCCCGTTCCCGTTTCTTTTCGCTTTTCCTGGAGACTTCCCACTCACACTCACACTCACACGTGCTTCTAGAAGCATCCGGACATCCCCGTTGTTGACCACCCCATTGACTCCACCCAACTCACAGCTGCTACTATGGCATTCCGAACTGTTCAATTCAAGATCCGATACGCTTTCATTCCCATTCAAAACCTCTACAAGAAGCGGGTGGCCCGTTATCGGTTGACCGGTCAACTTGCTCATTAGAGATATATACGGGACATGTTGAGGATGATGCCCCGAATTAACCTCGATATTAACATCGTACAAAGACCCGCTGTCCTGTTTTCTGAAACCAACATCTGATGACGACTCGTATTTTGGGTTGACTGTAAACCGGGACTGCCGATAAGGAAGTGACCGATGTGGGGCCGTTACCGTTACCGTTGCCGTTGCTTCCTCAACCGGGGGCGATTCGGTAATTTGTTCCGACTTCACTTTACAGACGTATGCATTGGCTTCATTGGGATCTAAAAACTTATGAATGGTTTTACTTTTGTTTCTTGAATTCCTTTTCCCTTTATGCTGCCATTTTGAAGTGCCACCGGAATTGATGGAACCGGATTCTTGTATTTCGTTGGGTCCCACCGGAGCCGTATCAACTAGACTACTTTGACCAGATTGAAGCTTTTCGGATACCATTGCTGTCCATTGAAACATTTTGAATCAATTAGCACAAGTTTAAAATCGATCATGTAATTGTTTCTTATAGCATCCTACTTTCATTTCTTTCCTATTACAGCATCATATCAATGTAATGCACGTTTAAAGATGCTTTAAAGGGTTGAATGCAAGAATAGCAACATACTTTCATTTATTCCTATCAAAGCATTGTGCTTTGAAAAATCTACCTAACTGTAGCAACTGCCGTCAAATTACAAATCAATTTTTCTTTTCAGTGCTATATATATATATATATATATATATATATATATATATATATATATATATATATATATATAGTACAACGTCTCGATAAGAATAAAAAATTGTAAGTCTTATAACCAGGTAGATCTTTGATGCTGTAACATAAAGAAACAGAAGTAGGATGTTATAATGAGCACAAGGGCTAAATGCAAGAAATAGCAACATACTTTCATTTATTTATCTATTATAGCATCCTACTTTCATTTCTTCCTATTACATCATCATACTTTAAAATATCTACACAATTATAGCAGTGTCATCTAAATACAAAGCAATTTTCACATCTATAATCGGGTAAAATTGTCAAAGTGCAATGTCTTAATAAGAAAAAAAAAAGTACAACACTGTAACCGAGTAGAATTTTTCTAAGTAGAATGCCGTAATAAGAAAAAGCAATAAAAGTATGATGCTATAACGAAAAATACCTTTAGTCTCCTTTTCTTCTCCGATAAAAGGAACATCAAAAAGCCTTGCAGAAGAATCATTGTCAAGTAATCCTGAAATACTGGAACTACCATTCTCTTTGTCTTTCTGTTTAGAATCTGTAGGCGAGAGCGAGACATCATTATTGGAGCTATCAGAATTATTATTATTATTAATTACCACCGAAAAACTTCCGGAAACTTTGTGCTCGGGCAGGAAGGATCCGGATCCGGATCCGGTCAGCTGTTCACACATAACGGGCACGGTCACCATGGCGGTGGTCTCCAAAACCTTGGTCAACTGACGGCGACGGTTTTTCTTTTTTAAAAACTCATGAACATGTGCCACCTGGGAACGCCGCCGCTTAAATGCCCCGCTGATTCCGATGTCCTCAAGTCCTCTCATTCGTTTCTTACTTCCTTCATTCCCATCGTCTTCGGAATCATTCGGGGTCAATTCCAATTCCAATTCCAACTCCGGTGGGGAATTTGAGATGTATTCTAAGCCGCTTAATTTATCTGACATGGCTTCAGTGGTTTCTTCTTCATCTTCATCTTCATCTTCATCTTGATCGGGGTGTAAGTGTTTAGTGTCGGATTGTTGGGGTGATTTTTTGGGTAATCGGGAACTTTCGATCTCAAGGGCGTGAAGAATTGCGTCTTCTCTACGTGCGTATTTCACTGCTTTTTTGGAAGGAACGACGGCTGATGCTTTTGCTTTTTCAATGCATTCATCGTATTCGCCACATCGGAATGATTTTACACGTTTTGATTTTTCAAGATTATACCAGTCTCTGCATCATAAATAGTGTGGTTCTGATTTAGGGATTTCTGAAACAAACTGAATCCACTGTTCCTTCTTTCATAAGTCAAAAAAATTTCAGAAAATTTAGGAGTCCATTTTATCCATATAGTCAAGCATGCTTACAATCAGAATTAATGGAATCATGAAAAGAATGAAATGATACTATGAATAGAATGGAATGGAATTGACAAGCAAAGTAAAAAAAAAAAAAATGGGTCATTAAAATCTCAATATAAGATTACATTAAATAATAAAAGTGTAAAAATTTGTGTCACTTAAAACTACATAAATAGGAATGGGTACACTGGAAGTTACAATTCCATTCCATGATGGAAAGGGGGAAACAGAAACACCCTATGACTAAGGAATGAAAAATAATAAAGAGGATGGAATCACGATCCTTTAGGAATGGTCCCTTCCATTGCATTAGATAAAACAAACAGCTTTTTTCCACTGCACTGGAATGGACCATTCCCTTTCCTGATTCCATCAAACTGAACACTGCAAAAGAGTAGTGAATGGTCATTTTGACAGTAGCAGTGGCTCTACATAACAAGGACCTAACTAAGGCTGATAAATTCAAGACTACTTTTACTACCATAGTACCATTATAGCAATTATCAACTTAGTTATGAAATTTGGGCTCACCTCATTTCTCCCACTCCTAAACATCATTTTAAACCATACTTGCAAACTTTTTATTTTGGTCTGTTTTGATGACATTTTAGTATGTATCAATGTAGAAAACCATTGGCTTTTTCTTTGAAGGATTTAACATGCTATTTGATCACCAATTGTATATGCCATGTTGATGTGGCCTATATCATGGAGCCTCCAGGACCTAAGAGGATTTCTTGGTTTGATCAGGTTATATCTTTGATTTGCAGCAAATTGTGGTTAAAAATATAAGCTTCTTATAAATTTGTTGAAAAAGGGTCAATTTGGTTGGAATAATAGGTTGAGAAAACTTTCAAACAACTCAGGAAACTAACAGTTACTACATCCTTAAGTTAAACAAGCTTTGATTAGGGTAACAAAGACACTCAAAAAGCACAATAAGAAGTGTCAAAAACTAAAGAAAAAATTAGGGTAACAGCACAAACAGGGCATAAATTCGTTGAGCTTCATGCAGAAAAGAAATAAGTGATATAATGGAACTGTCACTTACACACTTGCATCATCTCTTCCTAGTAGCTTCACCGGAGTACCCAATCTCGGGGAAACCAGACAACTTTCCGGTAACTCATCAGGCCCCAATATGCGACCCGGCCACCACGATCCGTTTCTACGCCGGACCCAAACCAACCCACCCACGGTTGGGTCAATATTTTTGCCGTTTGCTTCACAAGAGCTCCCCATTCCCCAAAACCGATAGAGAAAACCCCAATAACACCTTAACCCAATCTCAGACCCTCCATCTTAAAGACGACGATAAAACTGCTTATCCGATTAAAATAAAATTAAGAAGAAATTTTGATGACTAAATAATGTCTTTGCTCCGAAACCCTAAAACCATTTCAAAGTAGTATACATCAGTGATACTGCATGCAAGGACATACCCCCGGATAAAAAGTTTGATCCAAGCAAAAATTTAGTTGAACAAAATCAAGAAAAACGGATGGGCAGATCCAAGGGGAAATTAACACAGAAGATTCGAATTCTTTGTTTTCAAATTTCAAAAACAGCTGAAGCGATTTTGTTTGGGTTTATGTAAAATCCTTGCTTCTTGTACTTCGAGTTCCTTTAGATTTTCATCATCAAATCAAACCGCTGTTTGTGCTAGCGTTTCCGCAGTGGGTGTGAGAGAATGATGGCGATTGATTAAAAAAACTGCTTATGGGTTCTGATTCGGAATGAAAATAGGCGTACCTTTTGGTATCTTTTTGCCAAAAACAGAAGAACAGAGAGAGAGAGAGAGAGAGAGTGTTCAGAGTTGAGAGCGGTGTGAGTGAGAGATTGTGTTGGATTATTTTATGTTTTTATTTTTTGAAGTGGGGAAGACTACGGGGTTTTAATCGTCTGCCACCATAACCTAGGGCACAGACTTTACCAAGAAAATCTATAACTACCCTTAAACTTTTGTAATCTGTCGTGTTTAACCCTCTCTATGGTAGGGGAGGGGATACTTGTGTATATGTGGAATTATCAAGCCGGTCGTTGTTTTTTACTACTGTATCTATTAGTATCTAGAGCGAAATAAGAACTTTATTTTATTATATACTAGGTGTAAATCCCGTGTACGGGTTGTTTAAAAAAAATTATATATGAAAATATAAAGTTTAAATATTTTTTTTAAAGAAAACATTAAATATCAATAAAAAACAACAAAATATGATTATTTTTTTATATAGACCATTTTACCTAAAATTATAATGAACTTAAAAAAAACATGTCAATTTTGAATTATATATAATGAAGGAAACATATTAAAATTTGAAAATATAGAGAAACAAATTAATGACACATTAATTACTTTTTATAACCTAAAAATTAGATAGTTAATTAAGAAAATCAAAAATTACCACAAAATGACAAGTGAAAATTAATTTCTAAGAATTAACCACAAAATTACATGTGTCCAAATGCATAAGAAATTGACATGTGGCAAAAAGTTCTTTATTTATTAGGGAGGATTTTACTATTACTATATGAGAAAAAATACATATATAAAAAAAAATTATAAAATAAAAAATACATTAAATTTTATAATTAAATAAATAATACAAACAAAAACCTACAAAAATCATCTAAAACAATGTCTTTTTGCATTTTTTGAAGCAATAACGTCTTTTATTTTACAATAATCAATATTTTGTAAAAAAAATCACTTTCAATACTTCAATTTTTAATTGTACTTTGAAGATACGATTTCAAGAGCTTCAATTTTGAAAAACTTTTTTTCCACGGAAACTACCGTAACCGGCACCATCAACAATATATTATATGTAACCAACACATTACAAAACATATTCATTCTTCTTGTATACTCCATTATTTCAATAGATATCCAAGGACTTTTGTATTTGTATGCTTCATCAGACAACATTTCGTAACACCAAGTTTTAGGTATAATTACTTTTATGGTTTTGGCTTTTGGGACTTAAAACTATAAGATTTTTGGTAGCCATGATGTTGTGATGATAGCACCACGACGTGGCGGCACCCGATGAAAACGCACATTCGTTTAGGGCGCCACGACGTGGCAGGGTGTTGCCCACGACGTGGCAGCCACCTGCATGCAAACCTTAATTTTCCAGACATTAAGTCTTATTTAAGGGATGTGATGGTTATGGTTTGCACACCCTCAGCCTCCATCACATCCCTTTCACCTCAAGTAAACTCTAGCCTCCATTTTTGTGTTCTTGAAGCTTAAGTGGTGACTTTTGGTGTCTTGAAGAATAAGAAGGTGTTCCTTGAGCATAGATCCAACAAACAAGTTCCCTCACCACTTCATTGCACATATTATGGACCATTATAAGTCCTCAAGTTCCAATCTTTATGCGTCATTCTTCTAGATCTAGGGTTCTATGCTCTTTTCTCTAAGTTTGGGAAAGCTTGAGGTCGACCCAAAAGGTTCCTTATACCCCGTGCGAATTTTTTTAATAATGCCCATTGCCCAATATTTGTACCGTACAAGTTAAACAAACTAATATTATAACACCCTGTTTTGAGTCGCTTCATAATTCGGGGCTGTGACCCGAAAATCAAGTATCATAAGGCTTCGGGATTTGGGGAATAGAGGTTTATACCCATTTGGATATGGGTAATGTAGATTATGAGATCCAAGAGTTCGGTTTGTGGCTTGGAGTCAAAGGGTAAAATGGGAAAAGTGGTGTTTCAGACTTCTTTTATGAATTAAGGATTTTAGTTCGATGTGTTTTAAGTCAAAAGTAGTTACATAGGGTTGTAGAACTCCTCAATACCTTTATGTGGATATAAAGATCGTCGAAAATGAAGTTGGAACGAAGAAGTTATGACTGTTAGATGTTAGGAAGGTTTTGGACTTAATCTAGTACGTTGGGAGTATAGGAAGTACGTCGGGCGTGCTAGGGCATCCCTGGTACGTTGGGCGTACGCGATTGGTGCCCAAACCCTATTTTCATAGTTTGAGCGCTATTTAAGATCCTTAACTTCCCCAAACGCATTCCATTATCAGCCTCCACCTCTCTAACACCCTCCCTTGGAAACCCTAACCCGGGTTTAAGCCTTTTAGCAAAATAAGGTGTTCTTGAGTGCTTTGGAGTGTTCTTGGTGCATCTTGGAGAATAAGGAGCTCTTTGGAGAAGTGTTGGTTGCATTGGAGCTTGTAGATCTAGACTTTGTTCACCTTGATATTTCTTCTAAAGGTATAAAGCTTGAATCTTGATGATGTATTTGTTAAATCTAGCTAGTTTTGGATGTTATGAACTTTTGGTTACTTTAGTGCATAAAGTTTAGATCTTGAAAGTTTGTCACCTTGTTATGGATAAAGTTGGAAACTTTATCCATCTAAACATCATATAGATTCAGATCTAACGGTTTGAGACTTGGACTTAATGGATTAAGTTGAAAAAGATGCACTTTTGGTCCATTTGAGACTTAAAAACTAGATCTTGGTTGTTTGGACCATTCCAATGGATAAAGTTGGAAACTTTATCCATTATGGAGTATTAGGAATCATAAAAATGTAATTTGGACCTTAGTTTCCTTCCATGCATGAGCTTGGATATCTTGATGAGTTAAGAAGTTAGGGTTTTTGGTATTGAGCATTTAATAGCCATACAAGACCATAAAGTTGGAAACTTTATGGTTAAGGACATCATTTGAGGACTAGATCTGGAATTTTGGCGAAAGAGCTTAAGGGATTAAGTTCTTAATAAAAGGAAATGATGGTTGAACGTACGTTGGGCGTATGCTATGGTAAGCAGGGCGTACGAGGTCAACACCTCATTTCTAGCCAAGACTTGAGTACGTTAAGCGTACAAGCTGAGTACGTTAGGCGTACTCAGCTGAGTTGACTCAATTAACTTTTGGACTTTTCGACATTTACCTGTTTTTTACCAAGTTGACTTTAGGGTATTTTAGGTATATTGATTATAAATTAAGTTTGGTCATGATCCAATGAATAGGTGACCGGTAGATCTGATATTCAGAGCAGTGTCATATTAAACGATCTTTCAGATTGAGAGGTGAGTCTCATCACTGTACCCGTGGGTTGAAGGCATAAATGTCGGCCCACTAGGATATGATACGTGCTTGTTGTCTTTGTGACTCTTTTTGTATGCATGTATGTCTGTTTTCTACATGTATGTGGGGTGAAATAGACCCGTACGGTTGAAAAATACCAATTGAGTTGAAATAGACTCGGGGGTGAAATAGACCCGGTAAAACCTTGAGCTGACATATGAGTTGAAATAAACTCGGGAGTGAAATAGATCTGGGGGTGAAATAGACCTGGTACAACCTTGAGCTGACATATATGTATGATATGTGGTATTTTGGGGAACTCACTAAGCTTTGTGCTTACAGTTTTACGTTTATGGTTTTAGGTACTTCCAGTACGAAAGGGAAGGGCCCGGCATGACTGCGCCGCAACCTCCAGAGTTTTCCGCATTGAAAATTTTCAATATTTACTCTTAAGTCCTAACCTTACTAACAATGTGATAGGCAATACAGTACCCACTATTTTTGCTTGTATGCATCATAAACATTCAAAAATGTAAGGTGATCCCCCTCAATGTTCCCAAATCGAGCTTTTGCTTCATCTGCAGTAGCTTTCTGAGCCCTCCTAGGCTGGACAAAGCAATTGGGTACTACAAAAAACTTTGGTTTATCATAGAAAAGGCTCATGCCTATGCTTAAAAAGAAAAAAGAACAAATTATTGAAATCGTCCGTGTGGTTTGTAAAAATTTCACGTTTGGTCCCTATCTTTTGTTTTGCACTCGGACTGTCCCTATAGTTTGTTTTCGTTTCGTTTTTCATCCCTGGCAGAAATGAAAAGACTATAACACCATTGTCTCATTCTTTTTTCATTTATTTATTATATATTTACAATTTCCTAATTAGAAAAAAAAACTATCTCCACTAACACCACCACCAACACTACCATTTAACACCAACACTACCATTGTCGTTGACCGCCACCACCACTACTGTCGTCGACCGCCACCGCTACAGATTTTGGCGACACCTGCATATTCCGTTAAATAGCACCAAACCTGCAGATTCCGTCTTCAACCAAATTCAAAAGCTTTTTTGCAACCCATCTTCAACCCAAAAAAACAAAAAGGTAACCCAAATCAAAAACTGAAATAGATTTGCTTCCATCGGTTTCATCAGGAACCACCAAACCCACATGAATGAAAATTGATCAAGCATTTTCAAGCTACCTAGATAAAATCAAACAGTTGAATCATGCACATGATAGGTAGGTGTTACCCTTTGAACCTTCCCTTAAGATACATATTTATTTTACTAGCAGACCAGTAGACTCGATGTCCTTGAACTGTTCTGCCATTTGTGTAAATAATCAGTATGTGTCTCACATGATTCTCCCTGGCCTAGTTAGGTTCTCATTGATGTGTCTGTTATGGTCATGGACACTTGCCTGGTTCTGTAAGAGCTATTAGGAATGTGCCCATACAATTCCTTTTGAAGCGACCCCACTTATCTCTTACATAGGTGATTCTATAATAATCATTAAAAGCTAATTCGTGATGATTTCCAATTTATCATCCATGACTATAAAGCTTAACCTACATCACTGTTTGTTTTAGGAATGGGTTGGGGTTAACCCCCACAGTGATTCATAATTGTTATATACAAGTAGGTTGTCCCATTGAACCTATATCTTGGGATCTCCAGTCAACTAGGTTGGGTTTTCATTCGCAATAACTTATTAATCTATGGGTTTTAGTCCTATTCCTCCATAACGACCTCTCATTCCAAGCATTTGTTAACGGATCCACAATCTTATTTTGACTTTATGTAGT